TGGCCCCCCCCCCCCCCAGCCCTTTCTTGAAGCCGGGGACACGGAGACGCAGAGTTCCAGCATCTTGTCCCCAGGTCACTAAACGCATCCAGGGCTGAGCGTGGGCTTGAGCCCAGCTACACCGCTCCAGCGTCCATGCTCTCATCGCCCGTCCGGGATTGCAAGCTGCTTTCCTTCCTGGCAGGTGGGGCCCCTGGTTCCCTGGATTTGGTGGGGGGCCGCCCACCCAGCCACGTTCTGCCTTGTTCATCCTACTCGGGTGAGTCCCAGCTGCAGTCGGAGCCCAGGAGGAGCCCTGTCCTGCAGTGTCGGCACTAATCAAAGCAAACTGGATCAGTGCCACCCGACTCCTTAGAGGGCAGGTGACTCAGGACTTAAGGGGACGACGGTGGCCGACGTGGGCTCTGAGTAGCCTGTGGTGCTGTCGGCACAGATCACGTGGTGGACACACCGGGGCCCCCGTAACCTCATTCGACCTATTTCAGGGAGTGGTCAAGTGGATGAGAAAACCTTCAGCCCCTTGGTGGGGAGCGCTAACCTGTCTGCTCTCCGCCGGGGGCTCCCTTTCCTGGTCTGCACACCACCGTGTAGAGACTTGGGGTGGAAAGTCTAAAACACCCAGTCCTGGGATTTTTAAGCAGGGGTTTAGGTGAAGAATTTTGCTTTTGAATAAGCAAAGCGCTGACTAAAGCCAGGAGCCACAGGGGAGCCTCTGAAAGCCGTTGCGGTGGGCACGTGGGCGTGGAGAGCTGATAGCTGGATATCTGTGGCCCAGGGCATGCGCAGGAAGGGCAGTTACAGGGGGTCCACCCTCAGCCACACTGCGGGCAGCTCCTTCAGCCCGGAGAGTGGGGGAGGGGCCCTAAGCCCTCCCACCCCCCACCCCCACCCCGCGGGTGTCAGAAGAAACGCCCCTTGGCCACCCCCAAGCAAGCGAGGAAGTGTCCTTTGCGACAGTCCAGCTATAAGGACACAGGCAGCGGGGTTTCAGACCCTGACCCTCCTCTTCGGTGTGTTTCGTGGGCCAGTTTCCACGCAGGCAGGGGACCCAGCTCGGCTTCTGGAAAGCAGGCTGGGGTGGCTGGAAAATATGGTTGTTGGCATATGCAAGATGACATCGGAGTTGGGGTGCATCTTTCTCCCGAGATGATCCCACCTGCCTCCTGCGAGGAGTGTGTTCTGCCGATGGGGCCAGAGGGCCCGGGCCGAGTGGGGGGCCACAGCTTCCCTGGGGTCCTGCATCAGCTCTGGACTTGGTGGGACCCGGCTTGCCTTGGCCCTTAGATCAATCTGAACACTTGCTGGGGGCGGAGGGGTGCACATTCCCTCCTGCTCTTGTCCCCGTGTGCCTCCCCTGGTTTCTTCCACGCCAGCCTGCAGTCTGCGTTGCTCCCAGGCCAGCCCCTCGGCCTCGCAGGGCCCAGGGCGAGAGGGCACACGGAGCCCGCATTCCATGGTCTGAAGCTGTAAATCAGCCCACAAAGTGTTCCTAAAAACGTGGCTCATCTCACCGCTTTGACAAAAGCGTCTTTACAACGACCTGGAAAGCCAGGTTTCGATTTAGAATTCTCTGACCCCTCAGAGTTCTGCCTGGGAACTTGGGGGTGTGGGAGAACCAGCCCTGCCCTTGGCGCACCCCTTTCCCCTCCCATCCCTAGCTCTGATTTACTCCCCTGGGTCCGGGCTCCATTCAGAGTTCCATGGACAGCTTGCTTTGGGTCTGTTCTTTTTTTTTCTTTTAATTGTTAAGTCTTAGTCTGTTTACTTCCTACTCGATGAATGACAGTCCAGGCACCAATTATTGTGAGGAAAGAGAACGAGTCTCACAAGAGAGGTGAAGCCTGGAGGGTGTAGGGGACGTTAGGCTGGAAAGCTGGCCAGAGTCGGATCATGGACGGCCCTGAATTATGGGCTGCAGGGTTCGGACTGAACTTTGCTGGGGGGAGGGGGG